TTAAAAAAAAAACTACAGTGTACCTTTTTTGTTCTTGAAACTATGGTTCGTTATTAACTACACCAAATCTTCCTAGCTTTATGTTGATTTGTCCTCATTTGATCTCGTGATTTGCCAATAAAGAAATCACTCTTAACCCCAATTCTCAATCTTCCTTTCCTCCCTATGCAAAAGGCTAATCTCTGGATTAACCAATTTTTTATTCCAATTTGAAGAAGACAATAATCAATTTTCTCACAACTGGATGCTTACTTCAAATTGCGTCTTTCTTTTCTATGCTCTTTAACGAGGAAAGAGAATCAATAATATTCCAACCTTCTGGATAACGTTCTTTCTTTAATAAATTAATTCATGGAAATTCCAATTATTCAAGTGTCGGGTTTTTTTAAGTGCATTACATACCGTACCAAAAAAGTTCATCACGTACATATTATAGACTATAGGCTGCTGTGTGCATTCTGTACAAAAACAGTTAATTCAACTCTCGCTCTTCATGAAATTTTAATTTAGAGATTTTACTTATATGAGAGAAATTTTAAAAAACATATTTTTTTATAGGTAAAATATTTAAATTTATCTCAAAATATAATGATAAGAATGGATCTATCTTCATAAAAAAATGAGAATAAAAATAATCTATAAAATTTTTTATTTAGATAAATTATTTTAAATTTAACATATGATATTATTTAATATCAATAATTTATTAATTTATTACATCACCAATAAATTTATTATTAACAAATTACTAATATCAGATTATGCTACATATTAAATTTAAGATGATTTGTTCAAATCAAAAATTTTGTGAATAAATTTACTCACATTTTTTGTTTGAAATAGATTCATTCCTACCACTATATTTTAGGAGTGAATATAAATATTCTACCTTTTTTATATGGTTGTCTGTTGTCAAATATACGAAAAGAAAAAACAACACAACTCTCCAAAATATTTAACTAACAAATTATAACAAAAATACAACAATTAAAAAAAAAAATCCCTTAACATAGACCAACAATTTGTGCATGCAGAACTAAAACCCACAACCTTGCTTTTAGCCTCTGTCACTAAACTAATTCATCATTGGCTCAGGTGCCTTGCTTTTAATTCAGTTTTTGCTGTTTCCTTTGTATGTATAATTTAATAAATTAATTGTACTATATTAATGAGTTATTCAGTATTTATTTTATTTTATTTTAAATTGTATTATAGTAGAGGAAATATCCTCTCTCATCCCTAATTTCTCAATTCATTAACTTGATATCATAATATGAATTTAAAATTTCTAATATCTTCTTAAAGATATTAAAATTGGAAAACTTACCTCCATAACAATTTTTTTTTTTTAAATAGGTAATGAAATCCACAACAATTGGTACATTATTAATGAAATGATAAGTAAGCTACAGTCTACTCTCTTAAGAGAAAAAGGAGAAAAAAAAAAAGAAGAAGGAAATAGGATGATAGCAATACTCTAGAGACGAGGACATGTGAAATCATGACATGATGCTATACCGCTAGTTAAGTTGAAATTTGGTAACGTACGGCGCCTGTCAGACTGGACCTGGGTTTGCCATGTGTAATGTCTTTAAAATGATTTTTTTATTTTTATTTTTATGTGAATGTCTATAATCTTCGATAGGTAGGTGGCACCCTTTTTTTCTCTAAGATAGAAATTTCATCAAAATTAAAGGAAAATGTGCTCACAAGTTCAAACGTTAGGTGGGTCAACATTCAATTGTTAGGCATAAGG